CAGTGGGTCAACTATTTCTAAAACCTTGATTTCAGTTCTTTTCACTATAATTAGTTTCATAATTCACAGGGCGGTTACAGAAAATGAAAACATCGGCCAGGACAACCAAAGTTATCAAAATCTGCTATAATTTCTACAGTAGCTCCAATTCTGATTCGCCACAAACCCATTTCTAAAGGATATTCAATACTTTTTTCTGTTAAAAATCATATACATTTTGTTAGTAATAACACAATATTAATACAGTTAATGTGTGTTTTATCAGTGAAATATATATAATATTCACAAGGACTTAACTACATTTTTAAGATACAAAAAAAGTAACATGTTGATCCAAAAAGTGCAGGAAAAATTTACATATCCTGACATTAGATACTGATGACAACAACAAGACAACTCTATATTGATTAACTGCAAAACAGAATATTCTGCCAATTTATGCTGTTATCTGCTAAGAATTACATATAAAACTGTTATTAAATATTATTTTAATGAAAATCCCTTGTATACACAGCAAAAACCCATTTATTTAACATTAGCTTCAATGCCTTAGAATAGAAAATCTAGAAATTTCAGCCCAAGGAGTGAGACCCTATGGTTCTGATTGGTCAAAACTTTTTAAAATCTTATTATCATCATAGAAGACATACGATTCATTGTATTTCACTAACGAAAAAAGCAATGACTACATGATATTGATTGCAGAATAATGAATTCCAAGCTTTCCCTTCTTTTTTAATTACACAAATCAACAACATATATTTACTTTCTTGATCAATATTGCTTTAAATCAATATTAATTATTTTGAAATTACTAGCTGAGAAATGACTATGAATGTATGTAGTTATAGAATGCATCTCAGTATTGTTCTACAGAAATTACTACAAAGGTGGTATATTTACATACACTGACCCCTAGGTCCTGGTGACAGATCCAACACTGTTAGATCGATACCACGTGTCAGCCCCTACTCACACCATGGATCAGACAAAATGTCACGCTGTCCAAATCTTTGTTCTGGTGTTTTTACTTTCTTTGTGAAATAATTATATCATAATGTCATCTATTTATCTAAAATCATTGGAACGGTTTCTCTAAAGCAGATCAACAAGAGAAGTACTGTATATTGTGTTTATCTTGCAACAAGCCCATGTCTGGTAATAAGCCCACCCATACTGTAAATTTACTGTTCGTTAATATTACTCCCTAAGGACTCTTCAGTGACATTAAGTTAGTGATAAAGACAATAGCTTTAGAGGTAACAGTAATCACATGACATTATGCTAAGGTTATGTGTTGCAATTATGTTACATCAAAATTCTTCACAAAACTCCATCATGATTCTGAATCTTATTTTAATAAGTTATGTTACATTAAAATTCTTCACAAAACTCCATCATGATCCTTAATCTTATTTTAAGTTATACCAAAATCTATATCCATCAGATTAATGTTGGCTGGTAGAGAAGTGTACAGAGGGGGGTACATCTCACCAGACAATCTATTTAATCTCACAATAATATTCAGTTAGGTATCCTATATTCATTTTTTTTTTTTTTAAATTATCAATAATTTCTATTTCATTGAAATGTTTGGTTTCCTCAGCTTTGTACAAGGTCATTGAAGCTGATAAACCCATCCATATCTACTGTTGTTAAACAGAATCACTCAGGGCTCTCGATCTGCCAGATTTGGGGCCGATATTCGGCTGCATTCCCAATGCAAAATAATATCTTTTTTTCCCAATTTAGACCCCAAGTTTTCCCAATTCTAAGGAAAAGGCTGCTATTTCCCCCTATTCTAAGGGTCCCGGGCCCCAGTCCCAAAATGGGGTGTGAGAGCCCTGTCACTATCAAATATTTATTACATAGCCCTCCAATATCTACCCCACCCCATATCTTTGAAGCAAAAAAATATGTTTGAAGCAAAAAAATCTTTGAAGCAAAAAATTGTATAGAACAGAAGTTCTTATAATACAACTAGTAGAAGATAAGTGTGTGACGTTTTGATGACAGCATGATCACCTTCATCACACAAATGTGGAGCATACTAGCTCTGACGTACATAGTGTATGAAATGGTAAGGAATTGACAAATTGAAACTGTATGTTGTACCTTTGGTTTATCACAGGGATTGAGTACTGTTGGAGGAAGCCAGGGTGACCAGGAAAAAAATCCATGTAATATCTAGTAGGTAACTTTAGATCCTGTTTCACATTGATCCAATCAGGGAATCAAACTGAAAGGTGACCGCTTCCTCCTCAGTACCATCTCACTATTCCAATTACACTTCCTAACTAACATCAGTCTTTTACAACTGTGAATAGGCAATAAAGAGAGGTAGAGATGGGGCTTTGTGGCAGGTCACAACCAACAATATTAGACTTTCAGGTCGCATGTTCTTTTACTGATCAGCTAAATAGGAAATTACCTTTTGTCAATGTTAGAAATTAAGATGGTTTGGCAGCAATGCTAATATAGGGTGGCTTCAGTACAATGTACAGCTGATACTGTTTATACAATTAATGTCTAACCAAAAATTACATATGCAGACACCTTATAGTTGAGTAACAACTATGTTGATTATCCTTCAGTGTAATTCAACATTTTGTAGCAGCCAGAAATGACAAACATGACATTTTGTAGTAGCAATGGCATATGTGATAAACTGTAAAGCATTGTTCAGCAAATATGTTACCAGAATATTGCAAACATGTTGTTTCTGTAAATAGATTTGTCGGAACTTTTTGATAATTTCAATATTCAGAGAACCTCTAATTTCATCTCTACACCTACCAGTGCAGTTCAGAAACTGAGAGGGGCGGGGTTGAATCTAACAATAAAAATTAACTAAAAATATATGACATCATTAAGACTGAAGAGATAGTATTTGACAGCTAAAAACTCCTGTGTGGATTTTGAACACTTCACCACACACTCATTAGATAAGAAGCTAGCAAATTTCTACCTGAATCATTTTTCCCTTGGAAATCAATGTCAACAAACTCCCTGTTTTTTTTCAAACTGCACTAATGTAAATGGAATTACTTTTTTTTTCTCTTCTGAATAAGACTTTATTGTGTACAGATATGTTACTAATCTAGCCATTTTAGTGACACTGAATGATTTCAGTTTTTCAGAGACAGACACCAAATACACTTCAGATAAAGTAAAAAGTTTTCAGCATCAGGAACCATACATTCTTAAGGCAAAGCGAAAAGATTCCAGGTACAGAATCACACCACACATTCTTATATCCAAAGCCATTATCAAGAACCACACATACTGAAGATAAAGTTACGACTAATTAAATGACAATCCTTTTAATTACTGATTTTTTTTTTTACAACACAAGTATAAATAAAATGAATATGAACAAAATCTCTCAAATATGCATATACTACATGTTCAAGAAAATCCACAAAATTACAGAACCTCAACAAATGTGAAAACATATTTTTCTTTGACCTAGGTCAAAGGTCAAAAAGCAGGACAGAGTGACCTACTTTTGATACATGACACACCACCTCAGCAAGATGAATTCATATACCGATTAAGAAGTTCTGGTGAAAAACTGTGCAGGAGATAAGAGCCCAGAGAAGACACTGTAGAACACAGTGTAAAACTGTAGTCCCCCAACCCTCTGGTTCCTGGTGGGCGACTAATTGTATCATAACCATCTATCAACAGCCTAATTGTATCATAACCATCTATCAACAGCCTATGTGAAATGCTTGTAAAATGCATAGAGATTTTGTTTTTTATTTAAGAAATTTTTTCAACCATAACGAAATCTGCTGGCAAATTTCTCCGTGAAATTTGTCAATGAGTCGGATCCTGAAACAAATTAAACCTGATGTAACAACAATGATTAGAGGTTAACATACGGTTGTGTGTTTCTTAATGAAGTCATGCTTTTCCCCTAAGCATGATCGCTCAAATACATCCCGAAATACACTGACAAACCTAGCTAATTCTCAACAGCAACAATCCAACAGGGCAGAGTTAGTTGAAAATCAAACAGCAAGGGAGATAATCCAACAGGATTGAGTTAGTTCAGAATCAAACCTCAGGAGACACAATCCCACAGCAAGGAGTTAGTTGAAAAGAAAACCACAAGGGAGATAATCCAATATATGGAGTTAGTTGAGGATCAAACTTCAAGGACCACATTCAAACCTTTTGAAACATTATTCTTAAGGAGTTGGTTGTTCAAGTCATCCATTCACAGATCTAGAGGATCACTCAAGAGGTATTGTTAGTTAATTTTATAAAGAATTCAAAATTCATCCAGTATCTACTTCTATACATATCAACTACTATGTCCATTTTTAAGCTTGTTACAATACATGACTACCAAAATATTTAACGATATTATAAGTTATTAGAATAAAAATGACACAATTTGATAAGTTATAGAAATTCTATCATTATTATTATATCTATATATCTTCTAGGTGTTTTCATCTATTCTGATTTTATGGTTTTTTTAGAACAAGTTACAGAAATTGATGGATGTAATTCTAAAAAATAAATAAGAAAAAAAATTGAGTTCTTTGACTAAAATAGTTTTTTAAAAATATTTTGAGTGCTTATTGTATATTCCCAAAAAATAATTGTTTTCCGAACTCACTCTAAATTAAATCTAATTTAATATTCTAAAAATAATGTACAAATACATTGCAGATAACAAGACAAAATTGATTAAATGTTCTCAATACCCCCCGAATGTATGTTTATGTTTGTTTTTTTGCTTTTTTAAATTTTTTTTTAAAACTGTCTTCCACTACTATTTCATTTTTTATCTTTTCTTTCTCTCTTTCTTTTTTTTTTCTCCTTCTCATGATTAATTTTGTTTTTTTTTTTTTTTTTAAATATGTTTTATGTCTTTTTCCTTCCAATTTTTTTTTTTTTTTTATTATTTCTTTTTTCTAACATATAAATATATTTTTTAGATTTTCAGCGTTAGAAGGGGATCATTTGTATGGAGCTTATCTTACCATTTCTTCTATCTGGGCCTTGACTGAACTTCCCTGTAAGGAAATTAATATTGTATAATCTAGCATAAACCCACATGCATATCACCATAAAGTATCTAGATCACGGCTGTATACCACCAGGACCTTGTAGGAAACAGTTTGACCTCTGGTAAATTAGAGGTCAAGTTAGTTTTACATTTTGAGTTCAATAATATTGTGTACATTGCAAAGTTCTTTTTCCAATAAAGGCCAATTTTTTTTTTCCTAAGAAAATGTATGTATATGTCTGTATAAGTCTTGTGATTTGAAAAGCTACATATATCTTACTTTAATTATATGAAACTGCATTGCTGAGCAAGCCTTTGTCAAATTTGGTTTCCAAACTTCCAAAATATCTATTAAATCTATTTTTTTTAAATTTTCTTCAAAAAATTTTTCACAAACTTAGAAAAAAAATCTCAGAGAAAAATTCCAAACAACAATTATTTTCGGATCTATATCGCCACTGATTAAATGTTAAGTATCGAACATCATATTTTCATTTTATTTCAAATTTTCTGTTTATATTGCATCTTTAAGGAAATATAACAATTTCAATCAAACCTACATTTCTGAATATACATTGGATGCAACATAGTTTGTTAAATATCATGAAATTGAATATAAACACTGTTTTAAGTTATCAATAAATCACATATTCGGACAATCGTGTTACTAGTTTACACCTCTTCCCTCATCTAATGTAATGTTATTAAACATCAAATGATAATTTAGAGAAAAAAAGTAAACATCTGTTAACAATTCATTTTTTTGTTTTCTTTTTTTCTTTATGATAAACATTTTTCAAATGAACAAAAATGATGTAAAATGATAATTTTTTTTTTAAAAGTTATAGTTATAGTTATGATTATAGAAAGGAAAATCTTTGCAATCCACATAATATTTTCAAAATGATTTTTATTATCCAGATCAAGATCTAGGTGATTCTAACTACCAGAAATATATACTGTTAATATACAAAGTCTAAGAATGACTTCAGTAACAGCTACTAGGCTCCGACAAAATGCAGAGAATACATAACAATTTCAATATCGCACTATATATTAGTTACATTGCAGTGTTCATGTTACCAAATCTATTTAATTATACTATCAATTAAGTAAATATAGAAAAAAAATATATATAAACATTTTCTTGATAATATGGTTAAACACACAATTATAACATGTAAAGTTTCAATGAATTTTGTAGAATAAAAATAATTTAATTGAAATGTTGAATATTATTTAGAATGCATGCATTATTGAATATAGTAATGGAAAAGTACATCCTAGCTAAAACACAGATTAAATGAAACACAGTTTATCATTTTCTCTAATTAAAAATTAAGATATTTTATAAGTTCATCCAAATATGAAAGCCTCCATTTATAGTTTTTCATTTTTCAATAAAAAAAAGATTACAACAGATATTTAATATCCGTTATTATTAAGTTAAATTGACTTTCGATTACCGCTATGTGTGCAGGTGAATTCTACCATGCAGCATCATCAGTGAAGAATACTTATCATAGAACCTGTGAGAGTTGCCTCCACTTTATCAGGTTTTCACAACTTTTGCAGTTGAGAATCCAAAATATTCACCAATATTGAAAACAATTATTTCTGTCAACAATACCAAACAGACCAGAACCAAGAGGTCATCAGATTATATAGAACTCAAACAGAAAATTTTACATGAGGCCAGATTGAAGTGCATACACCGAAGGTGAACCAACCTGAAGCATGCAGACCTACAGACCTTGCACAAAGAAAGTCATGAAGGCAAAGAATTGTAGCTCAAGTGTGCAAGATGTTATCTCCCTTTAAATCAACTACACCAGAAAATACACCTTATATTTTAATGTTTCTTCCAAGAGAAAAACTTTAAATTCCAAAACATTAGCAAATAGAGATTTTATCAATTATCAATTGTGAGAGACTTTCAACTGGTGTTAAAAACGCAATACAATATAAAAATAATTTTCACTTTCAAACTCAAACTTTAGATGTACATTTGTCAATTATCGAAATAAAAATCTGTGTGTATAGTGCTTTGACAAATTAATTTTGCGCCGAAGTGATCAAGACAGATCGTGTTTTCCAACATATCATCACACATTTATAATCCTCATCCTCACTCATATCTAAAACATTGTCACATGACTCTTATCAACCAATCAAAGATTCCCTAACATAATCCTTTCCATATCGCTCCTTGCTGAAAAGCAGAGTTAATTTTTCTCAAAGACCCTTTTGGATTTTCAGAAAATTTCATACATTATCTGGTATGGCATGATTAGGATTTAGCTATTTATCAATTATGCTAGTTTATCACTTACACCATTACATGTATAATTAATCCATGCTATACATGTACATATCTTTCTGAATTATCCTTGGTACCAAAAGCCAGTGACAGCCAAAAGGTCATTATGCAAAGAAGATAAATTTTTTATTTTTTAAAACTAAACATTTAACAATTTTTGCTATTTAAAGTCTCCTGACCCTCATTCTGAATCCATTTTCTAGTAATATTGAAAGTGAAATTCAACAATATTTGTTAACACAAGAACAGCATATAGTTTTTTAGCATTATCTTGATACTCAGTAAAAGTTGTAATATCATTAGAAATTTCTCTGATACATGCGACATATACAAAACATTAAAATCAGTTAAACAGAAAGAAGTCATTATTTCTTAGCAAATCTTGTCTTTAAAACAAACATTTTTCAATAAGATACAGTATATGATAAATATATACATAGGTAGAGATGACCAAATCTGACTGACCACAAAGAAAAAATAAACACATTGAAGAGACCTTCAGAAAAGACAGTAGGACAGATACATTGACAGATCATTATCACTCACATGCTCCCCATGCACAGTACAGACTATTCTATACACGTAAACAGTGATGTGACCAGGACTTACCTGGGCCACCTTTTCAGACACATTATGCTTCATATTCTGGACGTTCGGAAGGAAGACACCTTTACCAGATCCTGGCATAACTCCGTCCCTTTCTGGGGTCCAGCCCACCTGAAGAGAATCCGCTAATAAATTCCCAGAGCTGTCGGTCAACTGCTTAGTTCTGTGTTTGGCAAGTTCTGAATCACTGCAGGTCTGATTTATACAGTTGGATTTCACATGGTTCCCTGTCCCTAAAAACAATCATAAAAACAGCATCATTGTAGACGTGTAGCGTCATGATAGTGAAAAATAAATACACAAAAACACAAACAAACTAAACCTCATTTAAGTTAACAATCATATTTATACTTCCATAAGTCTGCTTGATAAACACATATTATCTCTGACTAGAAGTCAGTGGGTGCAGGACTTGTTGTAGCAGAATAAAAAAAATTTAACTGGTATTTGTACGAAATATTTATCAAATATGAGTGAACCTATTTCAAGGCTTTGGAATATTGCAGGACAAATAGAAAATTTAAGGTAAGGTGTCAAAAACTTAGGATATAGAACTGAGAACATCTAATTTCATTGGACACCAAAAGATGTTTAACAATATTATACATGTTAGAGTTGTCTCCCTTGATGGCAAGACTTGATGTTACTCCAAAATGTTTTAGCTGTTAACTTTCAAAACTTTTTCTAAACTGTATTTTTAGAACACATCATAAATACATTGAGGTATGTGTGGCATTTATCGATTGATGAACATGTATGTGGGTGACAATAAAACAAGAAAATTTGTGTTTCCTTGCTGTGACCCTACCGACCTTAAAATTTTGTGCAATAATTCTTTACACATTTTTTACAGTAATTTTCAAGGAAACAATGTCAATATCACCATTATTAAAGGTTCTTTTTTCTTTTTTAGTTGTTTTTTTTTCCTGATAACATAAACATTTTCTTTAAAACATTGAAATATGCTCTGTATTTCTAGCCTTATAGATTAACCGGTGTGTGACAAGTAACTGTCTATTGATACATGACCCTACAATATCATAGGATACTGGTTTGTAAATAGGAGTTACATTTATATGTCAAATGAAGCACATAACACACTCCTGTTGTTGGATAAATCAGGAGGGCTTCTCATAGGCTTGTTACCAGATAAAATAGGAGGTCTTAGAATGGGCTTATTGCCAGATACGTAAGGAGGGTTTGTCATAGGCTTGTTACCAGATAAAATAGGAGGTTATAGAATGGGCTTATTGCCAGATAAATCAGGAGAGTTTGTCATAGGCTTGTTACCAGATAAAATAGGAGGTCTTAGAATGGGCTTATTGCCAGATAATCAGGAGGGTTTGTCATAGGCTTGTTACCAGATAAAATAGGTCTTAGAATGGGCTTATTGCCAGATATGTAAGGAGGGTTTGTCATAGGCTTGTTACCAGATAAAATAGGTTATAGAATGGGCTTATTGCCAGATAAATCAGGAGAGTTTGTCATAGGCTTGTTACCAGATAAAATAGGAGGTCTTAGAATGGGCTTATTGCCAGATAATCAGGAGGGTTTGTCATAGGCTTGTTACCAGATAAAATAGGAGGTCTTAGAATGGGCTTATTGCCAGATAATCAGGAGGGTTTGTCATAGGCTTGTTACCAGATAAAATAGGTCTTAGAATGGGCTTATTGCCAGATATGTAAGGAGGGTTTGTCATAGGCTTGTTACCAGATAAAATAGGAGGTTATAGAATGGGCTTATTGCCAGATAAATCAGGAGAGTTTGTCATAGGCTTGTTACCAGATAAAATAGGAGGTCTTAGAATGGGCTTATTGCCAGATAATCAGGAGGGTTTGTCATAGGCTTGTTACCAGATAAAATAGGAGGTCTTAGAATGGGCTTATTGCCAGATAATCAGGAGGGTTTGTCATAGGCTTGTTACCAGATAAAATAGGAGGTCTTAGAATGGGCTTATTGCCAGATAAATCAGGAGAGTTTGTCACAGGCTTGTTACCAGATAAAATAGGAGGTCTTAGAATGGGCTTATTGCCAGATAATCAGGAGGGTTTGTCATAGGCTTGTTACCAGATAAAATAGGAGGTCTTAGAATGGGCCTGCTGCCAGATAAATATGAAGGGTTTGTCATAGGCTTGTTACCAGATAAAAGAGGAGGTCTTAGAATTGGCTTATTGCCAGATAAATCAGGAGGTCTTCTCATAGGCTTGTTACCAGATAAAATAGGAGGTCTTAGAATGGGCTTATTGCCAGATAAGTAAGGAGGGTTTGTCATAGGCTTGTTACCAGATAAAATAGGAGGTCTTAGAATGGGCTTATTGCCAGATAAATATGGCAATCTACATAACAGGTAAATAAGTTTTATATATTGCAATGAATTTTACTATTTTTGTATTATACTATTTTCCTGTACAGTTTGTTATGGTTTCACTACATTTGTGTGGAGGTGTGGACAAGGGAGATAACTCAGGTCTCACTAGAGTAGATACCAAAATGATACAGTTATGAAAAGGAAATCCAAAAGACAAAATAAATATTTGTTTAACATTTTGAATATTGTTCCATAAATGTGAGATTGTGATCAGTCAAATTCGTTTCAGTTCATGTCAAAAAAAATTTCAAAATTTTAAAACAAAATGAATTTAAAATGAAATAAATAAATCTTTTGCACACAATATCCCATGTACCCAGGCTATAGAAAGATCATAATAAACTGACTTTGTTTACCAATACTGAGACCGCACGATTGAATAAAAGGGACATCAATAGCAACCATTAGGACAAAAACTCTAAACGATGAGTAGTAAGGTTGGTTACATGTATACTTTGTATATGTGAAACAGAATTGTTGAGTACAGATAAAGAAGTATATTTGAGAATTTAGAACATCCTGTATACTTGTTTATATATTATATGTATGTCACATATTGTAGACATGTAAAATCCTATGAAAATCCAACAAATTTGGTAATAATATTAATGATAACTAAGAGAAAAAATTATTGTAGCAGAGCTATGAGAATTCTTTTATCATATTTTCAGAAATGAAAGTATTGTCTGTTTCAATTACCTGACCTTTGAGAAATCAAGTTCAGAACTGAGAGTAAACATACTTACTGTTTACATATCCAATAATTCAGTGCAAAAATAACAGTTTAAATCAACACAATCGTTAATTAGTACACAAACTTTTTTTGTACAGCAAATATATTTTGAAAAATACATCATGCAATATTCAATAACAATTCTGCTTTGTTTATTAAAATACACAAACCACATCATATTAATAGTACGCAAAGTGCAAATCATATTGTTACGTCCATTACTTTGTAAGTATGTTTACGACAGTCTCTAAAGAGTTATCTTCCTTGCTTTGGAAAACCAGCATATACATGAAATAGGCAAAATGTTCAATATATCATATTCATTTTCTTGCATTCATTTATAAAAATTTACATATAATGATTTCAAAATGTCGTGACAACCTCATATAAGATCAAGGACCACGTCAAATGTGAAGGAAGCATGCATGCATGTAAAAAAAACGAAGGGAGTGAATATTTGTATTAAAAGTGAAGTTGTTGTTGCCATGGTTTTAGAAGTTTAGTGAGCAGAACATTCTTCATGCCAATGAAGAGAGAAGAGGACAGTCCAGTCATTCCATTCTGGTCAGGAAAAGTTGAAGAGATTATAAGTACCGCAGTTACTAGTTGGAAACACCTTTTCGCAATCGCTTGTGATTATAAAAAAATAGGAAAATATCATTCAAAGTTGGAAAGGAAGGGGAAAAAAAGTTGGAAACACATTTTTTTGTTCTGAAATCTATCAAATCTTTCCTACACCAGTTTTAAAATATAAGAATTGGCAAGTAGTTTTTTCTTGTTATAGAACAACGTTTGGAATTTTTGATTGCTTATAAGGATATTCCAAGATAACATGTAAAACAGTTTCCAGGCTGATGCAAACATGTATAAGGCAGAAAACAGTGTCTCCTGAGCACATGATCTATCTACTCACATGACCCTACGGTGTAGGCCCGCGCCCGACCATTGGCAAAATATAAGTCTGCAACAGAGAGTTTGTATATCTAATTGGGAAACAGAGTGACCTCCCTTAGACCCAGAACTGAACAACATGCTCTGGACAAGCTGAAGTACTACTGGAGTTACTCCCCTTGGAACAGGCTCTTCAGAAAATGTTTAAGAAATATCTTCCTTTTCATTAGAAATTATATATATTTTTCTTATCATATTGGGAAGGGGATATCTTAATGAAAACACACAATCTAACACCACAGGTACAATCTGATCATGCCTAAGAGAAAGCCATTTAAAAGTACTTTTCTTCGATAGATTTGGCTTCTAGATGCACTTGTATATATGTTCAGAGAAAAAAGTCACCAAGGAAAACCTAATTATGCATGTATTCATGACAATGTGAATATGTATGACTGGTTGGACAGGATACACGAACATGGATTGATATGTGTGCAAGACAACATCAATTGGTTATATGAAATAACAGATGCACAAAATTAATGTCACTGAACATTTTTGTACACATTTTGTCTATTACTAGGGAAGCAGTTTGTTAAATTATCAAAGGAAAACTTATCTTTTTCTTTCAAATAACTACTGGTTAAGCTAACTGTTCAAATATGGAACAAAAATTCTTTATATACAGATATACTACAGAGCCTGAAGTGGGAAAAATGTCTCTATAAACTGTACAGAAAAAGTGAAAAAACTGAGGGGAATTTTCTCCAGTTGTCTCTCACTCAATGTCAAGTAACTAGATAAAATAATCAGTAATCAGATTGTCCTTTCTATAGATCATAGAGTTATAACCCTCAAAATACAATAGTTTCTTACAGAATGTTTCACACACAGTTTGTGGATTTCAATTTCCAGAGGATTCCATTTGGTTTTCTCATCATAGCTTCCTTAATGCTATAGATAACGTAATCTCTATCCATCACAGGTAATAGTGCAACTGGGATTGAAATCTTGCCTACAAATCATACATTCAGCCCAAAAGTGATGAATTTGGACCTATTTTGACATCTACATATATTAATGCGTTTTTAACTGACATTATCCTCTCCCTGTGGCCTTGTCCCCCATTACCCTGTCCTTGGAACTATTTCCATATTACATCTAGCTAATATCTGTGACCCTCCTTTGATTTTGTCCATGTTGCTGTTGCCCTTTACGTTACAACATTTTCCCTACAGTCACGCTCCTATGACATTTGTTTCTTGCCCGTGTGACATTGCCCCTATGACCTTGTCTCTATAACCTTGTCCCCATTATCATTCCCCTTTGACCTAGTGACCTTGTCCCTTGACCTTGCACCAATGACCTTGCTCAAATGACACCTGTATAGAGAGTGTTCTATAAGAAGGTTATCACCTGACGAAGGTGTCAACTGTTCGCCCTCGAGGCCTTCGAGGGATGATGCACGTCTTATGTAAGCACCGGTCCGGGAGTTTGGGGCTGGAATGTCTGAACCGGTCTTTTTGTAACGGAAAATTGGCGAGTTTGGCGGAATTTCATTATCAAGGTATGGAAGTGAATTGAGAGGGACAGCCTCCTCAGGAATGGGTGGGTTCTCTGGGTCTGGATTCTTCTCCATCCCGCAGGACTTGAACCGGTTGAAGTCTTTTCGTATTGATGGCAGGCGAATTTTGAAGCTTCTTGGGCGACCTGAGCGTAAAAAAAATAAATATTTACACTAACATAAAGTACTAATTATGCATTGTATACAAAAATATGACAGCCTATAATTGTGGTTTTAGCACTTTTGAAGATTTATATAGTACTCTATTCTAAACTATTAACAAGTAAACCAACTTCAACTGATTAAAAATGTCCTATCCTTTACTGATATCTGTTCAGAACAAGAGGAACCTGTATATCAAGTAATCATGACAACAAATTCTAAGTGTTTAATTCAAGATGACACCTATCATATCATTTATTTTTCCAATGGATGTCATACAACTAGGAACAATGAGAAACCTACATGTGACAACGACTCTTCAAATTGTTCTCAACAAATATCAGTAGCAGCTGATTGACAGACGACTGACCAGGGATGAAGGGCAATTGATTTGCCCACCAACAGAGGACGATGGGCTAAAATCTATTATCATATTTTCTCTTAATACATGACCATCCCTACCTTGCTGCCAATTACCTGATTTGCTGTTTTTGACACTGTTTTCGGGTTTGTTGATGGCAGTTGTGGCATGCTCTGAGATGTCTTCATAATTGATGATAAACATGATAACCTCCCCTTGTTCGTTTTTCACAGGTGCCGTCAGGACACTGCATAAAAATTTGGAACCTGAAAAACATAGAATTGTAGTCATAAAAGTGTCTCTTGTCAAGGGATTTAGCTTCTTGTACCATTAAGAGTATATGCTATTGTGTAAAAAATTTTTGTGAAGAATTTTACACTTTTTTTAAAAAGAATCACCAAACCATGAACGGGGAGATACTCCTAGCAGTGTTTATAGGAGGATATTCTGTGCATATATATGGAGAGACACTCCTTGTGTATATCTATTAAAATGGATATCCTTCTGTGTAGATCTAGGGAGACACTACTAGCTAATATATATGGAAAATATTCCTTGCTTTACATATCTTTGGGGAGACACTACAAGCTGTGTAGATCTATGGGAAGATATTTCTAGCTGTACATGTCTATGGGGAGAAATCCAAGCTGTGTAGATCTATGGGAAGATATTTCTAGCTGTACATGTCTATGGGGAAACACTCCTAGCTGTGTAGATCTATGGGAAGATATTTCTAGCTATACATGTCTATGGGGAGACACTCCTACTTGTATATATCTACTAAAATGGAAATCCTCCTGTGTACATCTAGGGAGACACTACTAGCTAATATGTATGGAGAGATACACCTAGCTTTGTAAATCTATGGAGAGATATTTCTAACTGTACATGTCTATAGGGAGACAATCCAATCTGTGTAGATCTATGGAGAGGTATTCCTAGCTGAACATGTCAATGGGGAGACAATCCTAGCTGTATAGATCTATGGGAAGGTATTCTTAGCTGACATGTCTATTGGGAGACAATCCAAGCTGTGTAGAGGTATGGGGAGGTATTACTAGCTGTACATATCTATGGGGAGACAATCAAAGCTGTGTAGATCTATGGACAGATATTTCTAACTGAACATGTCTATGGGGAGACAATCCAAGCTGTGTAGATCTATGGAGAGGTATTCCTAGCTGAACATGTCAATGGGGAGACAATCCTAGCTGTATAGATCTATGGGAAGGTATTCTTAGCTGACATGTCTATTGGGAGACAATCCAAGCTGTGTAGAGGTATGGGGAGGTATTACTAGCTGTACATATCTATGGGGAGACAATCCAAGCTTTGTAGATCTATGGAGAGATATTTCCAGCTGAACATGTCTATGGGGAGACACTCCTAGCTGTGTAGATCTATGGGGAGACAATCCTAGCTGTGAAGATCTATGGGGAGACAATCCTAGCTGTGTAGATCTATGGGGAGGTATTCCTAGCTGTGTAGATCTATGGGGAGACATTCCTAGCTGTGTAGATCTATGGGGAGGTATTCCTAGCTGTGTAGATCTATGGGGAGGTATTCCTAGCTGTGTAGATCTATTGGGAGTCATTCCTAGCTGTGTAGATCTATGGGGAGACACTCCTAGCTGTGTAGATCTATGGGGAGACACTCCTAGCTGTGTAGATCTATGGGGAGGTATTCCTAGCTGTGTAGATCTATGGGGAGGTATTCCTAGCTGTGTAGAAGTATGGGGAGGTATTCCTAGCTGTGTAGAAGTATGGGGAGGTATTCCTAGCTGTGTAGATCTATGGGGAGGTATTCCTAGCTGTGTAGATCTATGGGGAGACAATCCAAGTCAAAAGTTTTAATGCAGAACAGGTCATATTGGTGCTTTTAATCATTAAATTCATTGATTATTTCTGTGCAGATTTGTATCTGGATTTCATCAATCTCATCACACCAAGGAAAGCAATCTAATATCTTTTTAAATTTTTTGACAATTGAATAGTGAAGATATTGTTTACCTTGAGGTTTTATAAATGACAGTATTTTCAATTAAATGAAGTTGATCCTGTTCATAAATGATGACTTTTAGTGTACCACAAGGTTACATGCAGCCATTTGATATCTCCAACAAAGACATTTATCAGAAGCACAGAAAACCACGAAAAACAATATTACTAAACAAGTAGGAGCCAGTCTAATAGTGATAGATCATACAGCTCCGATTCCCTGTCAGGCCTCCTCGTTTCTTTATTTGTTTCACTGATAATAAATGCTCTGATAGCTCAGTGGCTTGAACAGTTCCATGGTGTTAAGGTTGACAACCCCTACTGTTCAATAGTTCCATGGTGTTAAGGTTGACAACCCCTACTGTTCAATAGTTACCATGGTGTTAAGGTTGACAACCCCTACTGTTCAATAGTTCCATGGTGTTAAGGTTGACAACCCCTACTGTTCAACAGTTCCATGGTGTTAAGGTTGACAACCCCTACTGTTCAATAGTTCCATGGTGTTAAGGTTGACAACCCCTACTGTTCAACAGTTCCATGGTGTTAAGGTTGACAACCCCTAACACTGAACAGTCCCATGGTGTTAGGGTTGACAACCCCTACTGTTCAATAGTTCCATGGTGTTAAGGTTGACAACCCCTAACACTGAACGGTTTCATGGTGTTAAGGTTGACAACCCCTACTGTTCAATAGTTTCATGGTGTTAAGGTTGACAACCCCTAACACTGAACGGTTTCATGGTGTTAACATTGACAACCCTTATTGTTGAACAGTTCAATTATGTGAAGGTTGATAACTTCTAACCGTTGAACAGTTCCAAGGTGATTGGGTTGACAACCCCTTCCATAGAACAGATCCATGGTGTGAAGGCTGACAATCTCTTCCACTGAATGGTTCAATGGCGTAATGGTTAAAAACCCCTAACACTGAACGGTTCAATGGTGTTAAGGTTGACAACCCTTATTGTTGAACAGTTCCATGGTGTGATGGTTGACAACCTCTTCCATTAAATGGTTCCATGGTGTGAAGGCTGACAACCCCTAACACTGAACAGCAACCGCTACACAGGGCAGACCAACCTGTGCTGTGATTGTCCTTGGGCAAGAAATTGTACCTCAATTTCTAAATACATACATAATGTCCTTACATAGTTTAGTGAGGCAGCCATCAGCTACTTCAAACACCTCACTTCAAAACGACCATTACAATTCACATGGCTATATACCCAGCAAACAAATAAACTGATATAGGAGTGTATTAAAATCTGATAGTGTAGTATTTTTACATTAACTACACAGGTTAGCACTGTATCAAAACATTACCACATCCTTCCAGAATGAAGTGATCTGGAGGTTTCCTGACAAATTATTTAAACCAGACAAACCCAAGGAATGCTACTGGGAACCAGAAGAATAACTCTATATAGTGGCTTGTTATGTGATGTTGTATTCAAATGAGAACACTTAGAGATAACTGCGGCTTCAGGGGGAGAAATGAGGGCAAACATAATTCATGAAAAACATGGCAGAAATTAGTTTTCTTCCAACAAGGGAAGGTCCCTGCTGACAAGACACTATTCCTGCCAATAAAAGAAGCCTTCATATGAGTTTTGTATTTCCAGTACCAGTTGAGTGAAGATTCTTCCTTAGATTGGAATATTTTAAGCAACTGGTCTCTAGATTTATGTATTGGTTTGTTCCTAACATTTCTATGTGTAAAATCATTACTATTCAGTAAGGTTCAGTTCAACAATTCCGAAAGAAATATGTAAATCTGGGTACAGAAGTCTTGTTCATAGGACTGTATTCATTCTTTGCATTAACATCATAGCACATGTACATATATAGTGATTATGTCAATCGATAGTTACATTCCAGAGCTGTAGTCAATTTCTGTAGTTACATCCCAGAGCTGTAGTCAATTTCTGTAGTTACATCCCAGAGCTGTAGTCAATTTCTGTAGTTACATCCCAGAGCTGTAGTCAATTTCTGTAGTTACATCCCTGAGCTGTAGTCAATTTCTGTAGTTACATCCCAGAGCTGTAGTCAATTTTTGTAGCTATATTCACGAGCTGTAGTCAATTTTGAAGTTACATCTTAGAGCTGTAGTCAAATTTTGTAGCTACATTCACGAGCTGTAGTCAATTTTGAAGTTACATCTTAGAGCTGTAGTCAATTTTTGTAGCTATATTCTCGAGCTGTAGTCAATTTCTGTAGTTACATCTTAGAGCTGTAGTCAATTTTTGTAGATACATTATTAAGCTGTAGTCAATTATTACAAGACTTTGTGACACTGCTCAATCACTGAAGCTAAACTTTCTGGCACATTAATTTCTGAAGCTACAATTTGTGGCATTAATCAATCTCTGAAGCTATACTTTGTGGCACTATTTAATCACTGAAGCTATACTTTGTGGCACTATTTAATCACTGAAGCTATACTTTGTGGCACTATTTAATCACTAAGCTATACTTTGTGGCACTATTTAATCACTGAAGCTATACTTTGTGGCACTATTTAATCACTGAAGCTATACTTTGTGGCACTATTTAATCACTAAGCTATACTTTGTGGCACTATTTAATCACTGAAGCTATACTTTGTGGCACTATTTAATCACTGAAGCTATACTTTGTGGCACTATTTAATCACTAAGCTATACTTTGTGGCACTATTTAATCACTGAAGCTATACTTTGTGGCACTATTTAATCACTAAGCTATACTTTGTGGCACTATTTAATCACTGAAGCTATACTTTGTGGCACTGTTTAATCACTGAAGCTATACTCTGTGGCACTGTTTAATCACTAAGCTATACTCTGTGGCACTGTTTAATCACTAAGCTATACTTACTGACAAAAGTCAATCTCATCACCTGTACTTTACCACTGTTAACATTTACTGTAGCAACAGCCTCCAGACAAATACGAAATCTATCTTGTTTTGTCTTTAGAAAATTACACTCTTACTTTATTAGAGAAATGAAAACAGATCGGAAAATTTGGTGATAGTGTTTGTCTGGACCCTCAGTCAATATCAGCCAACAAGTATTGGGGTACTATCTAAGAAATCCATTCTCATTAGCACTACACTGTGCTCATGCTACTTACATGAAATACCTTAATGAATATCTTAACGAGCAACTAGACACTGTTAGATACCTTAATGGATTGTTTCAGGTGAGAATGGGGTAGCTAAATAGGTTATTGAGAACATTTTACATCTTTTTACATATGGTATTTAATTGACAGCTAACTCTGTACGTTA